GTCGTCGCCGCGGCTCCCAGACACGTCCTGCAGCCAAATTTTTCCCACAACAGCCCGAGAATGGGCTCGTTAGATATGTGGAGACCGTGGTAAAGCGTGGCTCAAAATGTTCATCCTAACTTTAGACACTCTTATGTATGTATCTTATAGATATGTTTCTTTAAACACTCGCGGAGCAAGCCTGTTCCTGCAGGTGTACTAAAGACCAGGGTACTTCAAGCCGAAGTAAACCTATGTGTAGCCTGCATTGTAGAAGGCTGCTATTATTTTCTATTTATTATATACATCTAAATTATTGTATAGAACCCTCTCATGCTCTGTAGTGTATGTGAATTACACAGCTTTCTTGTCTTACATTCTTAAAACAATTAACTTCCTATTAATGACAATACAAGACAAGAAGCAGCAACCCTCTCTGGCATCACGCTTACCTCGCCGGTCTCACACGAGCCACTGAGGTCGCGTCGTCAGACAAAGGGGTAAGCGGCCCATCTCCTCTGCCTTTCATTTTCATTATTACCCCGTACAGCTGTAGCAGAGTCCCAGTCCTGGTTCCTGCAAAAATGCTGTAGCAGTTAGAAAAAAGGAGAGAAAGGGAGAGACTTGGCTTGGACTTTTTAGGCTGTCTCGAAACGCTCTCCGGATTGCTCCCTCCGGCCGCGCTGTTCCCAGCCACCCGGACATCCGACATCACTGCTAAACCAGGGAGCCACCTGTACATATACTGTCTTACACAGAGTTGTATTTAGGGATTTTTGATTGTTTTGTTCCCGTAACTAAAAGTTCTAAATAAAATTTCGGAAGATAAAGCCTGGTACTTCTCTCTGCCTCGTCCCCTCTGCTCCGAATAAACAGTACTTGGGGGTCTGCTTTTGTTTCCTTCCTTCACAATCGGTTTTCCCCGAATGTGGTTGGAAGTGACGGTTTGGTTTTTGTTCCCGCTGCTCTGTAGAAAAAGCGGCGCACGCCGCACACACAGACAGAATCACCTGGATCACAGAAACACTGGAAAAGTTGTGGAAGAAACCAGGAGCCGGGTCTGTCAGCCTGGGTCGGTGCTTCAGCCTCTACTTGTCAGGGAACCGCAGAGATAACCCAGCAGGCAGAAGGCAAAATCCCCGGCAAATTGGACCAAGGGGACTGCGACAAATCTGCTCGGCCTGCTGGCAACATTTGGTCCCAGTTTTTCATCTCAAAGGCAGCCAAAAGTTCCTCACAGCTAAAACAAAAGAGCAAGGAGCTCTCAAACAAACAGCAGGCATACTAATTAACGGGCTCACAGTTCAGAGGGGCTCATTATGCGGCGAGATCCCTTTGATGACCTGTGGAAGGAGTGAAACCCGTCACCTCTGGGTTTAGCACCTTCTTCTGTGAAGTTCCCTCTCTCCTCCAGCCCCCGAGAAGCCGTGGGGAGGGGTGGCAGTTGGGTGGAGGGACAGCTGCCCTGCACACGGCAGGTTTCCTCAGCCGTGGGCTCGGCAGGCAGGGAAAGACACGGAACTGTGCACAACTTGCCGCAGCCTCCGTTTCCACCCTCTCCCTGAAAATTAGGACTTCCCCCTTCACCTAGAGGAACCTCCGGAGTGACCACCACTACAGAAAACACACCCAGATGGTCCCACCACCGAAATCCAGGTGAGGGTGGGCGCTGGGGCCAGCCCGAGCAAGCAGCCGCAGCAAAGCGCTCCGAGAACTCATGGGCAGGGAAAACGCTCAGGCAAAGCAAGCGGCAAAACCCTGGCAGAGGAAAGGCCTGAAAGACCTCCCCACTTTCTTGCCAGGCTGAGACCTGAGTTCGGGTAAGGCGCCCGCGCCCCAGGCGCCCGCACGGCTGCACCCACCAGCAGAACC